CATTATTCTGTCCCCTCTCTCAACTTTTTGTCACTTTGATGTTCTCCATCCTCCTCTGCGAAGCCTGACGTCAGTTAAAGGGCTAATGACAACAATCAAAATGCCTGCCATTTGAAATAAATAAATAAATTCTTTTCCAGTCTTGGTTTGTAAAGTTTTATTCTGAAGTTTCTTCTTAATGAATTGGGAATAATTATGGGAAAGCACACATTTAGGAATGGGAAATATAAGAAGATTGATCTAATGGGCTTTTTCTTTCTCCATTCAATGAGGAAATTTTGTAAAAAGAAACAAAAAAAACAAAATATCTGTCTCGAGAGTGTACCAATTGCTTCTTATTGAACAAAGCTGAGTTGACTAATGATTCTTTGTCTGCGATCACTAAAATTGACCAACAGAACATGATAATTTGGGTAAGACTTGAATCCACACTATTGACCTTACATTCATCTCCATGAGGAAAGGAGGGAAATATTTCGAGCGATTCGTCAACGTCTCCATGTTTTGTCTTCACTTTATCAAAGTTAAAATATAGAATGATGGTAATTTAGCCTGCGGATCAGGAACTTCAAAATCTTCACGCTATTTACATGCTCTGTTTCTCTCCCCCCCCCCCTCCTCCCTCAAAAAAGCAGCTCATATTAGTAAAATGACACCTTTTCACCTTTTAGTTTCGACCTCCTTTAACTTCGTTCCAGTTAATCGAATTTACTTGCATTACTGTTGTAGGCGCCTCATAATGCTTAATCTATCTAGCAGTTTGAAAACGAACTTCTTATTTTAGAACAATATGTTCTTTGACCGCCCAATCTACCAGGCTCATTGTAACTGAATAATGGGAAATTAACTCTGTTGTCAAAGATGACAGTCCTTGCAGAAATACTTACTCCCCTCCCACCCCCACCCCCCACCCCGACACAGTCTAATATGGAAACGGCGACCAATGAAAAGTTGTGGTTATTGTGGCAAGTTAACCGCTTCCTCTCGCCTTTTCTTCTCAAATGCTTCTTTGTCCATCTTCTCCCCTTCTTGCCCTTTCATTCCTTGTCATGTTACCATTATGAGGAATCATACTCCCCCTCCCCCCCCCCCGGATTGCTTTAATTCCTCACGTGCGTGTAAATGCCGGTTGGATATATTCACGTTTCCGTTTTGCCAGAGTGATTTAAGCCACTGTCCAGATCAGAGGTATTTGCACTTAAATTAGCTTTTGAACAGTGGCTGCTCATAATATTCTCAGTGTTTCTAAGGCAAAAAAGCCCCACAATACCTTGTCCTTAGCTAGAGATTTTTTAATGGTTTGGCCTTTTTCAATTCGAACTGCACCAAATTTTGTAAATTTTAGAGTAGCTACCTTTGTAACCTTTGGTGAACTGCCAATTAAGTGTCACCTTCGAGTATATTACGCAAAGGCATACAAAAATCATTTATTCCCTTGTAATACTCATGTCAGTGGCATTATTTAGTGAAAACACGGTGGCGTCATTTTTAACAATAAAACTTTTTTCTACCTGCTGAAATACTGGAAATAGCAGCCAAAATGTCCCGAAATGTTAAAAACCATCATAACTCAAACCCAAAACAAATATTTTGATTAGGGGTGTGCGATAGACTTACCTCCACGTTGTGCACCCTGGGCAACGTATACTCATACGGCAAAAAAGTCTATTAACTGGCAGTTAACTTCTGGCTTCAAACTACCATGACCCCACTGTATGTCATATTCGACCCCTTCCACAGTACTCATCTAGCCCTTTCTGAGCTTTTGTGTCTGTCTGTTTCTTTTACATCAGTGAATCGCTCTTCTTTTCCCCTGTCGAATTTTTCTCACTTTAATGTTCCTTCCTTCTGTGAAGCCCGAAGTCAACTAAAGGGCTAATGATAACTATCAAAATGTCTGCCATTTGAAATAAATAAATATTTTGACTAAGTTGAAAATTTACTGATTACGTGAGAAATCAAACATTGTCGGTATGTTAATTATGAAACAGTATTACTCAGTTTATTTTGAGTTTAAAAAAACTTCCCAACTATTTGTTTTGAGGTGTTAACAACACCTTAAAGGAAGGTAACCCACACTATTCACACGAGAAACACTCTTGCTAGACAGAATTTATTTACTTAAAATGGCAGGCGTTTTAATAGTTATCATTAGCCTTTTAGAGGACTTCCGGCTTCACAGAGATGAGGAGGAACATCAAAGTGACAAAAAGTCGAGAGGGGGGGACAGAATAATGATCCACAGATGTAAAAGAGACAGACAGACAGACAGACACAAAGCGGAGAAAAAGTGAGGTGAGTACTGTGGGAGTAGTCGAATATGACATACAGTGGGGTGATGGTAGTTTGAAGTCAGAAGTCACTGCCGGTATATAGACTTTTTGCCATATGAGTATACGTTGCACGCCCCGCCACTTAAATAATTATGGACATTGAATTCGATCCTAGATTGAGTCACATTAATTTACATTTTAACTTTCTTAATAATACCAATAATTAATATTTTGGATAACCATATATTTACGGGTTTCATCTTCCCCGATCGTTAGGTTTTGTTCTTGTTTTGGATTAATTCGTCCGTGGTTTTGATTTTAGAACTTATTTGAGCGCCAATAACATTCCCCAATGCAAAGAAGAAATTTTAAGTAAGAAAACTCGTTGGCAAGATCAATCTTTTCGCCATATATTTTAAATTGGCGATCCGGCTGAAACTTTGCCAACATGGTAGATTTCTTCGGGGTCATGTAAACAAGGGATTGCACTTTAAAAGGTCCGATTTTTTCTTAGAGTAAATATCAACAATTAACTAATCGTAGGGTCAAGCGTGTACAGCTAAGTTATGGTTTAATGATTTCTGTATAAAAAACTAGATATGGTAGTGCTTATATTTATTAATAGAAATGAACTTCTTGTCTTTATTTCTGAAATTGACATGATCAAAATGTTCATGTATGTACTGAAACATAATGGTAAATATATGAGTGTTAATAGAATAAGTTTCAACAACAGTTGTTAATTTAATTTTCGATCCTCAAATAATTTTTCAACCTGGAAAGGCAGAAATTTAATAGCGTTATTCTAAGGACAAATAGACATACTCTCATGAAAATAATGAAATAACATATGAGAGAGCTCTTCCAAATGCTATAAATGTTGCAAAACAGTAGTCACTGCAAGAAGTATGAAAGTTGTCATATAAACTGATTTTAAATAACAACTCATTGTACTTTCTCAACCATTTTCCTCAAATACAATACTTTGAATGATATGGCATATTTTGAATATTTAAGCGCACCACATTTCGTTAGATATAAACAAATGAATTCCCCCGCTCCTCAAATGATAGTGAGTTATCAAATTTCCATAAGAAATTTGCTGGTTGAATATGTGGAATGCACAACGCTATCATGGATGAACAGAAAATCTCATAGCACTCAGATAGACTCGAAGGTGCGGTCGTGAGAGCAGAGGACCCTCATTCAGCCACCAATCAATAAACATCGCATTGATTAAAAAGCCTTCATTGCAAATTAATGGCACACACCCCAAATAAACGTTATCCACGACAATTATCTATTTACTCTATTGCTTCGTGATAGCTAGGCTAATGCTGGGAACCATTTCAAAATTGCGAATCATATTATAGAGATTAGCGTAGCAAACCGTTTCAAATGTCACCACAGTGTAGAGCGTAGAATTTGAATCTCCTATTTAATAATCAAATGAATTGAAGAAAAAATTAGCATTAACTTAAATACTTATTACGAAATAGAAAACATTTTCTCTAACTGGAAGAATGTTATTTATATCTCATAGTTATAGCCAAGTTTAATTGAAGCTGAAAAACCAAAACCATTTAAGTACACCGGGCTTTTATTTATTTATTTATTTATAACAAATAGCAGGCGTTTTGATAGTAATCATTAGTCCTTTAGTTGACTACGGTATTCACAGAGGGGAGGAGGAACATCAAAGTGAGAAGAATTCGGAAGGGGGAACTCACAGATGAGGGAGGAACATCAAAGTGAGAAGAATTCGGGAGGGGGGAAAAGAAGAGTGATTCACAGATGGAGGAACATCAAAGTGAGAAGAATTCAGGAGGAGGAATAGCAGAGAAGAATTCGGAAGGGGGAATAGAAGAGTGATTCACAGATGTAAAAGAAACAGACAGACACAAAGGCTCAGAAAGGGTAAGATGAGTACTGTATCGGGGTCGAATATGACATACAGTGGGGGTGATGGTAGTTTGAAATGAGAAGTCAACTGCCGGTTAATAGACTTTGCCGTATGATAATACGTTGCCCAGGGTGCACCACGAGGAGGTAAGTCTGTGCCACACTACTACCGGGCCTTTATTAACTGATAATGATCATTGAGACGCATTTCGGCATTAATACTGGTGAGCCGAGATAAAGGACCCCCTGTTATAACTTAACTGGTCATCCAAAATAGACCTAACCCCTAGAGCTTAGTAAAAATATGTAAGTGCCTTAATTTTATATGTTCCTCTTTTCAACAACCCTGCGATTTAAGTTATTTTAACATACATGCAATAAATATTTAACATGAACTTGTAACATGGGATGAAGGGAAGGCAATGGTCACACAATTAGGTATTTAATAATTCGGCTTAAAGTTGGAGACTAGTCCCATACAGCTACCTACTTTGTCCACAAGTTAAATTGCTATTGGTGCATCTGGGAGTTTGTAGCATGTGATTGGAAGCTTTACATTGAAGGGCCCTCCTATTGGTCAATGGAGTCGCTAGCTTAGCCTAGTTTCGGTTCTCATCCGGAACTGTGGTCGTTAAATCTTTTATAGTAATAGTTATAATTGTTAATTTTATGAATTCATACTTTCTTTCGTTCTATTTTGCTATTTAATTAATGTATCACTTATATGCTGTATTGTTTTCATTTTTCTTATAATCTTAAAATCCCCTGTATTACCCTAGAAATTTCCAAAATGTTTACTAAGCCTTACAAACCTATTTTAGAGCCATGGATTTGGTTCATGCATCACCCATTCCTGAAGCAGACGCTCTTTATCTTCGAATTCTCGTTAATTACGGCACCTTATTGCTTCCTTTGAATGAAAAACATCTCAATAAAGTTTTTGCTCGTCTATTAGCCACACTTGATGCTTTTATTTTCATCCACAATGTTCATCTCATTTCAAAAGAAAAGCCCTCTCTTCGTGAAAATCAATCTAAATTACTACTCAGGAAGCGCTCTGATTCTTTTAAGGATCCGATAACCTTTGAGGCACAGTTTAATCTCGATTGCGATTCAACTGATGCGGGTCCAAGAGCTGAAGTTAGATCTATTCAACAGTTGCCAAAAGGGTTACATGAACTAAGTGTGGACATTTTCCTTCCTGTAACGCCAGATACTCTGGATGAGGATTTATTTGGTAAACTACAAGATGCAGTTCGAAATTACCTGACGGCTTATCAGCGTGCACTGAATTCGACTTTAAAGGATAACAATGCGATGCCACGTTGTCTGTCAACCTACTATTTTCTTCATGAGAACCAACTTATCCGCGTATTTTACCCTCCTTTCTCCCAGAATGAATTAGAGCTGAGAAAGAAAATGCATGCAAGTGAGTTGCACTTGAAATTTGTTTGTTATTCGCTTTGAACGCTTTTTTCGAATTAGGCAGTTTAAGTTTTCATTGTGTTCAAAAGTAGGGCTCATTTTCGAAAAGCCTTTCCTTTTCGCAAACTATCGTATTGCGGATTTGAAAGTTCAATCATAACGTTTCGTATTCTGTATCAATAAATCTTCCCTCAAGAATTGGGTTTCTTAAAATAATTGGGAAAATTGAGAAGAATTATGTAAACCAGTCTCATTTGCCTGCGTGGCCGGAGAGCCGCCCGAATCTATTGATCCCTATGCAGTTGTCCTAAACTAAATTTCTTCCTGTATCACAGCTATCAATGCCCGGAATCGCTTCTTGAGTCTATGTTGACCATTGCTGACGAATGTCTTTATGTCTCTAGTTTACGAATGCCATTTCGAGGGTTCATTTCACTTGAGCTAAGTCGAAAGCTTTATCTAGGTTATCTTCATCATTTGTTTTCTACCTTTTATCGCAGGAATTCGTCCAATTTTTTTGCTTTTTCGTGTTGTGTTCGAGCAATACTTGCTCCTAGGTGCTTTTCTTAGAACTCTCAATGCCTTGCAAGTTCATTTATTGGTTATTGAAGGCTCTGCTATTCTCCCTTGCCTTTATCATTGGGTTTCAAGGCGTTTAAACTATCTCCTCTAGTATTGGAGCTGCCTCAATATCCCATTCTACGACGCGGATTGGCTCTCTTTCCGACACGTAGCTTCCGGCGACTTCTTGGTCCAAATCCAGAGAACCTGGTCTGCCCACATCTTCTTCTTCCACCCATTCCGTCTAGTCCTGATATCACCGTTGAAATTGTTCGTGGAAGATACACCTACAAGCATTACCTCCAAGTGAGTTCATTCAAACGTAATTGTATATGTTATTTTTTGTCTTTGGATGATCGTATCACTCAGAGGTAGGTTTAACCTAAAATTAATTAACGTATTTTTCTTGATCCATCTAAAATTTCCAGCCATTTCAGAGAGGCCTTTTGTAGTACTTTTTCACTGACAGGGTTGAGAAATGTTTTGTATTTCTCATATAGTGAACCATAGCGATAATGGTCTACCTTATTACATTGAGTTAGTAGCAACGTGTTCATAAAGAGTTTGCGTGTCATGAACATGGCACTTTCCTTGAGAGTGGAATTTTACATGCACTAGTAAATGTGAACTCGGAATGGTAAGGCTTTTGTTTGCACAGGAAGTGTAGTATTGATCACACGGCATTCGTATGCCAATTTCACACTACTGCCATGTTTATTAGATCTCTATGTCATCATCTCTGGGGCATATCATGGTTTGGCGGAGTCGACCGCCAACGTATATCTATCTGTTTTCCAATTAACCGCGTTTTTCCACGAGGGACTTGGGGGTTATTCATTATTATTAATTTATTGCTATGACGATTTTCCAAATCATCCTAAGAATAAATATTGGGAACCAATTACACTTCTCTCTTCTCTACAATGAAAGTTCAGTGACTTCTCCTGTGTACTATTACAACTTATTTATTAACCATTTAACACCCTACAGGATCGTACGGTCCTATTTTAAAATAAGCTCCATTGATACTAGACTCGTAACAGAAGGTGCTGATGTCGTTTGAAACATGTTCAAAACGTCTGTGTAGCCCTCCCCTGATACACCACCAAAACTCATCACGTCGGCAGCGTCAGTCTGCTGTGAGACACGCGTGAGTGCGAGTTGGGTGCATTTTTCAAGTGTTCATGGAATAATAATAATAATAATAGTTAGTTTTCCACGTTTCTGCCGTATGTATGTTGAACAGGAATGTTGATTTTGCACTCAAATACTCTCATTTACATTCAATAAAGGAATAATTTATTTATTTTAAATGACAGGCGTTTTGATAGTTATCACTAGCCCTTTAGCTGACTTCGGGCTTCACTGAGAGGAGGAGGAACATCAAAGTGACAAAAGTCGAGAGGGAGGGACAGAAGAGTGATTCGCAGATGTGAAAGAGACATAGAGACAAAGGAAGAGAAAAGATAATATGAGAACTGTGGAAGAGGTCGAATATTACATACAATGGGGTGGTGGTAGTTTGAAGTCAGAGGTCAATCGCCAGTTAATAGACTTTTTTGCCGTATGAGTATACGTTGCCCGGAGTGCACCACGTGGAGGTAAGTCTATCGCGCAGCCCTATAGAGGAATAATAAGTTTATTACGGTAATGTTAAGAGCGGAAAAGTCCTTTATTTATACCATATGCCCAAGTGGTCCTTTTTCAATTGTTGGGCTGCATGACTGTTGGGACAGTATGGCTCACATTCGTTGTTTTCTATTGTAGTAAAGTTTATATGAAAAAAAGTGCATCCATGATGTTTGCTTGAACCCTTTTAGTTGGGGAAAAAACAGAGGGGAAGAAATTTTAGAACACAAAACTTAAATCGAGCGTTAAAGGGGTTAACTTGTATTATCTGTAGCCGCTGCGATGTGGTTTGAACTTAATCTTTCTGGTGATTCATACGAGAATGCGAGGTCTTAGCTCAACAAAAAAGGCCATGTGGAGTAATCTTTTTTCTTTCCAATAGGATGGTATTGATGACAAGAACTGGGGCTGCGCTTATCGATCATTGCAGACCCTGGTCTCGTGGTTGCTCTGGCAAGGCACCGTGGTGCCCCTTCAGCCTCTCCCGTCTCATAGAGCTATTCAGGAGGCTTTAGTAAAAGTCAACGACAAACCTGCGAAATTCATTGGTTCTCGTCAATGGATTGGTTCGCTTGAAGTAAGTTGTTGAACTATTACTTTCATTTCCTACACTTTTCATCGTTACGAAATATTGTAAGTATTTAAACCAGGTTATTGGAAAGCATACTTTTCATCTCTTTCTCCTCTCTTGCGTATAATTCGATTTTGAGATAAAATTCAAAGCGAATCATGTTTTCTTTCATGACTTTGGTAATGTTTGAGTAAACGACAGTTTGCTATTCTATATAAGCCAGCTGACCTATCAACCTTCTCACTTCTTAGTTTTTCAACCTTGAGAGGTTGCGACTGTTGATGTAATTGGGAGAAGGGTTGCTTCTATGTCCTACTCCGAACGCTGATCTTGTTATATCTTTATTATTCCTCCCAAAATGTCCACAAATCCACCAATTGAATCTAAACACGGAATTAAGCCAGGTTTTCAACCCCCCCGCCCCTATGTCCATCGGCGACCCATGATTTTGGTGTACATTAACAATTGCTCACTTCCTTTTTTTGCGTGAGATATTGTATTTTATCTAAGAGATTTAAACGGAGAATCCGTGGGGGGGGGGGGGGGGGGTTAATAGAAATTTCGATGCATCTATTTGTCATCGTCCGTTGTTTTTTGTGTGTTGAATTTAATTTAATTTGACAGTTCAGAATCAAAATATTTCGTATTCTGAAGATTTTTCAATGGACGTAAGCTTCCTTTCTCAGAAAGAACGCGCTCTGCAACTAATTTAGGGATGATTTAATTTTCAGTTCAGTTTGATATTCATTTCCTTATTGGAGACAGCAATGGATGGGATGGATGCCTTTCATTTTAAGCCGTAATTTTATCACATTTTAGAACGGATGTATTTGTCTTTTATGAATTTTGCGTCTGCTTATTCCCTTTTAAGTGGTATAACTAATGTATACTTTCACATTTTAGGTGAGTTTTTGCATATCAGAGCTCTATGATGTGCAATGTCGTCTAATCCCTGTAGCACGAGGGCGGGATTTTACTCCAACTGCCGCCGCTGTCTTGGTAGAACACTTTTCTTCCGGTGGTGGACCTGTTATGGTTGGTGGAGGAGACCTGGCGCACACAATCATTGGGGTAGCCATTGCTGACTCGGGTAAGGCGCGATACCTTATACTGGATCCGCATTATACTGGTACACCGGGCGATTCAGCAACAATTTTGGCCAAAGGTTGGGTTGGTTGGAAAGAAGAGGGCTTTTGGAAACCTGACGTTCCTTACAATTTGTGCCTCTTGCCCCCTCCTGATGATGCATATCAGGTTTGAGTGGGTTATTTTCTGTAGGGTGAAATGAGTGAATGTTATTATTGTAGTAAACTATTATGATACTTCAACTGTGTTATTAAAACTTCATTTCTTAAGTCGGCGACTCATGTAAGGTGCTAAGGAAAGGTTTTCTATTTCTCAAAAGGAGGATTGGGATGGAAGTGTATTTACATTAGGTAAAACTGGACAACGGTAACATTGACTGAGTTGAATATCGGGCTAAAGTGTGGGTAATATAAATGGCTTTAATAAATGAGCGCGCATAGTATTTCAGCTTTGACGAAGTTCCCATGTGGTAGATATTCGCTTTAGAATTTTCAAATGCATATTAACCATCAAATAGTTCAAGAGAAGAACTGTCCTGTAGTCCCAGATAGAGATGCCATTTCCCTAAAAGGTGAGAAAAGACAATTTCATTATGAGTCTTAAATGTGCATGATAATGGACTTTTCGCGGATTAAATTAAATTTGTGAAATTAGTAAACTTATTAGAACATTACTTCTATTTTCCATCGATTTTTGATGAATCAAATGAGTTCGCAAATGGTGCGCAAATTTTGCTTTTTCTGGAACAAAATCACATGAAATATGGAATTTAAGGTGGCATTTTCTGAAGGTCATAGAAATTTGTTTGTCATCGATACAGCGTCGCGATTATATGAAGTTCGGTAATAAGTTATTCTAAATTTGACAAATATCTTTAAAGACAATTATTGATGCTGTGGTTGTACGATTTACAAAAAGTTATAAATAATGGAATCAATTTATAATCTCTTACCTTCTCAACCAATCATCCAAAAAAAGCATCAGAGGTATATTAGAAACACAAATAATTTGCAGGTAGATATCAATCGATTTATCATCAGTTGGCTATACATGAATATGAGAAACGTAAAATTTTGAGATTTAAGACTCTTGGTCCAGCTGAAATGTCTAAACCAGAACCTACAAAATTTCTACGTTCTCATGTTGCCGCAAGAGTTCATAAATTTTCGGATCATGTAAAAAATGAAAACATGTGCCCTGGAAAGAAACCACCATTACCGGATTTTCGCAAGATTAAATCATGTGAAAAGTTGGCTAGATGCAACATTGTATCTCGAAATAAGCTCTCTGCGTTATTGCTTGAACCGAAGAAGCCACAGCCTTTCATAGTAGATACCAGAAAAGGTCACAAATATAACCTGGTTGGATCTGGTCTGACAAAATTTTATGTCCTTAAAGAGGTAAGAATATATCTAGATGTTTATAAATGGATTGATTTTCAGGATTTTGGAAAGATACCAGATTATATACAGCAAAGGAAAAAGGAAAAGCTAGACAACGATCGTCTTTATGCAGAGTATCTTCAAGAAGTTGCTATGCACCAGCAAAAACCAAGATTATCTGACGAAGAACGTGAACACCTTTTAGCGAATCTAAAGCAACGACACGCAAAGATATATAAAGATTTTCTCTGTCTTTCTGTCATTATTGATACTCTGCATAAGAGACAGAGGAAGGCATATCTAGAAAAGGAATTAAATGACATTGAAAGAGACATTCGAACTGTGGAGGATAATCAGTTTATATTTGTTGAAGAAAATTAGGCGTCCTTTTAGTTATCTTCAATAATCAGGCAGTTTTAATAGCCAAAAATATTTAAATAAATACACTCTTACTTGGTTAGGGAATGAATTATCAACAACGGCTTGCTATATTTTACTTAATTATCTTATCCTTGTGTTAAAATAAATTTTCCTTATAATTGATTGCACGTAAAAAATTGTTCGCAATTTTACCAGATTAGATTATTGTTTTGGCTTTTGGGTCCACACTTGTTTAGGTTTATTTTGTTCAACCATTGAAGGGTCTAATAATAAGTAATGAATAAAAGTAAGCTAAATATGAAAGTCAAACGTGCTGAATAGAAAGATATTAAGCACATTGCAGAAATCATTGATTCTCAGGATGTTAATTCATAAAACAAGATAAATCACACCATCGAGATTGGTGACAAATTGTAAATCTAACTTATTATGGGTTCCTTTGGTGATCTGAATGTAAAATATCGAAGAAAACCATTATGGTGATATTCATTGAAATAAATGCCTCAAATTCTTCTTCGTGCCTTCTATTCCGAATCTACTACATAAACAAATTTTACTCTCTCCAAAATAGGGCAGAAATATCACTTTCTATTGGCACAGAGAACGTTCTCATAGTTATTGTGGAAGAAGATAAGTGGAATTTATCTTCGTCTATTTATTTGATTGCACTTCTAGCAAGCTTTACCTTCAAAATGCCATTTCCACAAATGCTATTAACTAAGCCATGCTCCAAGGTCACATATGCATATAAAACAGAGTATTTTCTTAAATAGAAAACCTCGTTTGTGTCACAAGTCTCCAATTTCCTTACTTCTATACGCCATACCATTTACGTTATATTGTTAAATGTGCCCTATTTCATTCGTCATGGTCATACCTATTTTAACCTTGATTTATTAAGAAGCTTAATTTGGAAAATCATAAATTTTATGGTTCGTGAGAAGTATTTATTCTTTATTAATTCCATACATATTCTAAATAGCGAAAAATTCAACTAGGTTTTCAGCTTGTCTCAGTATTTCTCCCATCATCTTCTTGAGCCAGTTTGTTGGACAGAATCTGACAAACCACCGAAAGATCTTGCTTGATCTGCAGTCCAAAAAAGAAGAAATGATAAATACTCCGAATTAAGGCATATATATGTATTTATGTATGTATGTATGTATGTATGTATGTATGTGTGTGTGTGTGTGTGTGTGTGCGTGCGTGTGTGCGTGTGTGCGTAGTGTGGGAAGGAGGAGGGGGGAGGAGGGGTAAAATGTACAGCAGATTATGGAAACCACAGCTTGAAATAATGGGTACCATTGACAAAGTATCAATCAATCAAGTTAAAGGGCATGAGTTTGAAACTCATCATTGTACTTTTGATTCCCGTAAATAATAAACATTATTTAGATAGACAGGTGGATAGCCAAATCAACCAAGCTCTCGAAAAAATACCTCATATTAGAATGCTATTAGTATAGCATTCGCAGTTATAAGCATTAGATCTGTAGAATATGGAATATCTCCATTAGCCTACTTTATACCTCGGGAAATTCTGTGGTGAGTCGATCGACAACCGCTAGCATTGATTTCATCTTGCCAATCTGCCGATCGCGCTCATTTTGAGCAGCCTGTCGTGAAGAACAGAGGCGCCGATACCGTCCAGCCAGCAGTTGCTCCCAATATCTTGAAGCATGCTGTCGCATTTGTAACTCAATGAGTTTCTAGAGGGAAATCAAGGAGGAATAAAGGCGCTCTACCACTTATTTTACTTAGCACTTTTGTGCCCTAAAATTCGCACCTTTTGACGGTATTCGGCTAGGTCTTGCAGTTCCTTTGTCAGTTCCATGGTTTTTTTACGCATTTCTTCACAAGCATTACATTTGGACTTGAGGTCATCTTCGAGTTTCCCTGATTCTTCCTCTAGTTTCGAACATTCATCATCAAATTTCTTGGCGTTCTAAAAAGCAAGTTTTCTACGGATTGGATATGCGTTACGACTGTAACAATTTTGTGATTTTCAATATCCTTAAATATGGATGGTTTTGAAATGCACGTTTAGGAGTAATAGCGCACACACCTTTTCAAAATTGGTAATTTGGCTTTGAAGATACTCAATTTCTCGTTGAAGATTGTTTTTCGTTAGTGTTTCCTTACTTTTTGTGTTCTTAGCACATTCGTTCCTTTCCATAATGAACTCTCGCCTAAAATAAAGACAAATTTAACATCACGAGGTCGTCGAAGACTTGAATTCAATATACTATTCTCTAAGACCTCAAAGCATTAAGAATATTTCGTCTAGTAAGTACTCAGTCATTGAACACATGGGGAATTCTTTAAAATTATAATACAATCATTGCTTAATTCTCAGTGAGAACTCCTTTACGCAGATAAATAGCACAACTTACTTCTGTACCGAAAGTTCAAGAGCTCGAATTAGTTGTTCCTGTTGGCGTGCAATTTGAGCCTTTTTCACTTCCATACGGTGAATCTCCGTTCGAATCGATTTAAGTTCGGCCAATCCACTCGCTGAGTCAACAGCTTGGCGTGTTTCATTTACCAGTTGGATCTTCTTCTCCCAAAGCAATATATGCCTCCTGAAAATTATTGTATAGTTATTTCATCACAAATAATGAGTAGACCCGAGTTTATAAATCCTTTATCCTACTCCGTTTCCAGTAAATCAGCCAGCAAATCTTCTTTGTCCCTCACCGCTTCCTCTAAATGCGCTTCAGCTTCAACTGCCTGAGTCTCCTTTTCTCGAATACGTAAAACGAAATCTTCTTCTGCGAACCGATTTTCCTGTTCTATAGCATCGCTACTGGAGCGTTGTTCATAGATGGATTTATTCAATCTCGTCATGCTGTGCTGTAGACGCTGGACTTCTCGACTCAGTTGGGCCTTTTCTTTCTCTATGGAATTGATCTCAGCTAAAGTAGAATGTGCCAAGGTCAAATAGTATCGAATTTTATATGAAAAAAGTGGTTTTCACCTGTTAAAAACCTTGAACCCATGTCAGGTGTTATTATTAAACTACACTGGGTTCCATTCATGACTCATCCCTATTACATTCAGTCATTTATCGATTTATTTTTCTTCTCTATTCCCTTTACATAGACCTAAAACCTACTTGTCATTTCACTCTACTGATTAGGTGCTTTCTAGAAACATAGTGTAGATAGTTTTATAGAAACCTGGAAGATCAGTTGCCTAGCCGATTTTTCTCGTCCCAAGTTGATGTCCGCTACATTTCGGTGATTCCAAAAGCCTAAATAACTATACACGCAAACATTTTTTAAATTTAAATTCTGATTAAGGAAATCGTAAATACCATTGGTCTGGAGTTGACACAATGAAATACACTTACAATCAAGACGTAGCTTCTTTCGATTCAGAACAGAGAGGTAGACTTGTTGGCGAGATAAATCGTCAGCCAGTTCGTCTTTCGCCTTTACTTTATTTATAAGCTCTGTCTGCTCTCGTAGCCACTGCTGTTCCAAGCTGGTTATCTCCTCTTGCTTTGCGGCCATATTCTTCAGCAAATTATTTCTCGTAATTTCCAGGGGACCCAACTCAATTCCCTAGTGAAAGAAGACCATACACTTGCGTAAGCGAGAAGCGATTCTCACAATGATGATTCATTTTTTGTAGGATTCATAATACACTCGATTTTATTCCATACTAAATTCACGTCCTATCTCTGACAGATGGGAAAAAATTTCAGGAGAGGCAAACTAAGAGATTGAGTGGAACTTTTAGAATAATTTTTAGGAAACATCAGCTTTAGGAGTGTTAGCAACACCAGGAGACATTTAGGCCTCAGTGTTTGAAGAAAGAGTCCACATTGCTGCTGATTAGCACTCCAGCACCGTGTCAAGAATTAGGCAGTCAACTGTACTTTGAGAAAATGAGAAGATTTTGTGTTTTCGGCATTGTAAAATGGTCAGAGATAATACATCATGTGTGTTTGCAATTTGTTTTGACCTTATCAGCCTCGCGCAAGTAGCCTAAAATCCCAGAACTCAGTAATAGTGCGCAGTCACGTCTATGGCAAGCTTTACATCAAAAGTATGCAGGGCAACAACCCTGGGATATTTCGAATATTGATCATAATTGCAGCAGTAGTATTATCGAAGCTGTACAATTATACTGGAAGTTGTACAGAAAATTGGCCCTGCATTGACAACTATTTTTCCTTCTTACATTCATTGCATCATTTATTTATTTATATCAAATGGCAGGAGTTTTGATAGTTATCATTAGCCCTGGAGCTAACTTCGAGGCCTCACAGAGGGGAGAAGGAACATCAAAGTGACAAAAAGTCGAGATGGGAGACAGAAAAATGATTCACAGAGGTAAAAGAGACAGACAGACAGACACAAAGGCATAAAAAAGGTAAGATGAGTACTGCGAAAGGGGTCGAATATGACAAATAGACGGGCCATAAAAGTTTGAAATCAGAAGTCAACTACCGATCAATAGACTTTTTTGCCGCATAAGTATACGTTGCCCAGGGTGCACCACGTGGAGGTAAGTCTATCGCACACCCCCTCATTGCATCATTATCATGCTTAAAGCACAGATGCAAAATAAATTCTGTAAAAGTCTCTTAATGAAAATGTCTGCAAATGAGCCAAAATGTAGATTGGTGATCTCTATCAAACCACATTATCGGCAAAAAGTTTTCTTAGAGCGGATACGGAGGCCCAAACAAAGTTGTTCGATGGTGGTCTGTCTCTTACCAACTGTTAAAAACACGAACAATGGCGTAGACTTTCTCGTATGAATGCTAATATTAGTTAAAATTGTGTCACAGAGACTATTTGAGACACTGCCTAATAGTTGTAGTTAGTTAACAGAATTAAGTCTTCCATACATTGGAGGTGGTCATTGAATCTTTTTAAAAGGAATCGTTAATCATTACACACTCCAAATACAGTATTCCAAGTTGTTGTGGAAACCACTGAACCATTTTGTTGATAATAGATTGCTCAGAAAGTGAAGCTGAGGTGAAGATAGATTAGTGAACTGTTTTTACTGATAACCACTGTCGTGGTGTGCTATTAAAACTAAATAATTATTTACTGCTTCAAATTTGAGCTCCTATAGGTGTATTCAAAATCTACATTTAGTTAACGGCCTGTATCTCTTCATAATGGGTATACTCTGAAATTTCAGCGAGGAAATGCAAAAAAAGACATTAAAACAAACCCCAGTATTGTCAAGAAGCCTCTTTAGCTTTTGATTTAGATGATCAATTTGATCCTGTTTGCGTTTAACAGTGAGATTCGCTTGTTTTATCTTCTGCTGCAGGCAAATAAGGCTTTCGTTTCGCTTTTCAATTTCATTTTCAAGTTCTTTCGCCTGTTCGTCCAAGACTTTGGTCTCAGCTTTCACCTTCGCCACTTCCAACGTGTCACTCGCCAAAGCATTTTCTAACAATGCTGCCTACAATAAATATAAAAACTTGAAAAAAAAATTAGTGGTCAGATAAATCAGAAATTACATAGTTGTAGTTATTGTTATTTTGAATTTTTTCTTTTACTAATACATAACTTCTAGCAGAGATAATATATACTTATTCACTCGAATTATCTAAATCATCATAGGCATTTGCTAATATTTATTTCGAGAGAGGGGAGGGGACAGAAGAGTTTTTCAAAGGTGTAAAAGAGACAGACACAAAGGTAGTAAAAAGGTGAGGTGAGTACTGTGAAAGTAGTCGAATATGACATATAGTGAGGTGATGGTAGTTTGAAGTGAGAATTCAACTGCCAGTTAATGGACTTTTGCCGCATGAGTATACGTTGCCCAGGGTGCACCACGTGGAGGTAAGTCTATCGCACACCCCGCATTTGCTAATATTACTTCTCTCTTTATATTTATTAATAGAAATAACTGCTTTGGGAGGGGTTAGTAACTAACCTGTACTTCAAGTTCACGACTTTGATCATGAACATTAGTGGCCATGCGCTTAATGTAAGCCGTCGACTTTGTTGCTGATAGTTTATCCCGGAGAAGTGCATCTATTTGATCCTCCAATTCGCGTTTCTTAAGAATTTCTCGACTCAGCTTTTTCTGAAGGACTTTTGCTTCCTGGTCGAGGTCTTTGTGAATCTACAAAAGCATTGCGGGCGTTAAATTATATGATCAATACATTTTATACTTAATAGACCAAATAAAGTCAGTTCTCTTCATCAATTTTGAAGAACATTTTTCAATGTCACGTCGGAAGGTAGTACCTTCTTCCACATGTTCATCATAAAAAACGTCTTTGACTACATGTTACTCTGAATGTCTTCTCTGTTCTGCCACGTGAATTTTTCATGATAATATAATAGTCTATTGCCTTGCAATGATCGAGTACACGCAATATAATTCCCCTTCAGATCCAAAGTTCATCGCACGTTGATTACTGGTTCACATCAGCTGCTGTCTGGTGTTTAAAAAAAAAACATTTATTCACCCAATTTATATCCGTCATTCTCGTCGTTACTTTATAACAATCTTTTAACCTTAAAGTTGTAAAGTGGATTATTGCAAGTAATCAGAGGATGTGCAGAATCGTGACTCTCAGCACTTGATGAAAAGCGTTAACTTGAAAGTGATTGATATCCCTATCATTAATAAGCTTCAATTTCATCTAACTAATCGATATAAAACGTTTTCTCTTTGGGATCTTTGAGGTTTTTAATGTGGTTCTCAACAAGTTAAGTAAGTAAATCATTTAAGTTTAAAGTGGCAATAAATTGTGCTATTAAAAGTAACAATACAGATCATAAGGATTTGAATAATCGAGAATGTATTGATTGATTGATGCGAAGGACATTTTAGATACCATGACTACGTTGTTGGATCATTAAAAAGGTGCTCTCTTGCAAAATTTAAAGGTATAAAAGTGCATTGGGGATTTTTGAACCCTTAGAAAAGTTCTTGCACCATCTTCACGTTATTTTCCAAGCACTAAAAATGGGGATTATCCCTTCTGGTTAACATAACTCAGTGATATTCTTGCGCATGGGAATGAAAAGATAATGACGCATAAACCCGTATTAAAGTTATTTATATCAAATGGCAGGCATTTTGATAGTTATCATA